AGGAGAGAGGAAGCCAAGTTTCCCTGGATTTAGCCAAAAATATTTCAAACTTTTCTGATCAAACCACCTTTCTGGGGGAGAGAAGAAGGGGTGGTGTTAACATAAATTTTACATAGAATGAAGGTTTTCCATTCCACCTTGAAGAAAGTTGCCAAAACAAGAGGAGGGCACAGCGGTCCATCCCAAAAACATTTCTATGGTTTGTACCCACTCTGGTGACCAACCCAAGAAAAACCAAACCTGCAGAACAGAGCGCTTATTTCTGTTCGGGTCTCTGCCTGAGAGCACTCCCGAACCCGAGCTTTCGGTATGGGACAAAATAATTTATCTCCCTCCATCTGCCCTGACCTTCTCCTTCGATGGCAAAGGAGCATCTTCAAACCTTTTTCAGACGGATTTTCCAGGCTGTCTGCCTGGGCTATGAGAGGTTAAACCTTCCCAGGAGCAGACCTGGGTGACAGCATCGCCCTTGACTCGGGCTTTGGCACCGAGGCGCTTTCCCCTTCTCCGGCGGCTGATAGCCGGCTCCATCCTGCTGGGAGCGATTTCCCTGCTGCCAGCGAGCTCAGACACACACACAGACACATCCCTTTGCACACCCTGTGCTCGCATTCAGGGGCTCCCCACCTCCTTTCCCTCGCAGCTCCGGCATCCCGGCCCCGGGATGTCATCCTGTCATCCTGCCCGTGATAAGGAGCAGGGGTGGCTGCCAGAGGAAGGCTCCCAGTTGCTCCCAGGCGCCAGGCTGGGTAGAGGCAGACGTGTCCAACCCTCTGAAGGGCCTAAAAACAGATGACATCACCCCCTCACCGTGTCCATCCTCCCCCCAAAATCCCTATCAGCCCCACGGAGGGGCTGCGCTTGGAGGAGTGAGGAGGAAGAGGGAAGGCAAGGGGGAGGAGGCCGGGGAAAAGGAGGGAAGGCAAAAGGCTGGAGCTGGAAGTTGGTTACTTTGGCAAAAAGACAAAAGTTCTGCGAAACTTCACCGGCAGACTTCAAAAAGGTGGAAAAACTGGAGGCTCAGTTCTGGCAGGTCCTGTTATCAAGGGGAGCCTTATCTCTCGATGGGGATGATGGCTCATACGAGCCACAGTGGCTGCTAACCTCTGGCTGAGCTCTCCGAGGTCCCTGAAGAGCCAGGCTGTCACTCAGAGGAGAGGGGAATCATCCAGGAGAGGGGACTGCATGGAGGCATTCCCACCGTGCGTGCAGCCTGCAGAGCCACACCAGCAAAGGTGGGATATGCCAGCATGGAGCCCTCACTGCTTCAATTCATGGTGGTAGGAGGAGTGAGGGGACCTTTCCCTGCTCACAGTCCAGCCAGAGATGGGTCAGATCTCCACTGGCTGGCACAGTTGGATCACTGGTTTTACTGGTTTCCCCCAGGGCAATGCTGGTGCCTTTGGGATGGATAGCAGAATGGGTTTAGGTTGAAGCCAGGAGTAAAGCTGGGGGTTTTAGGGTGGGAATTTTGCCCACCTCATTTCTTCCATGTCCTACTACCACAATGGGTGTTTTCCAGAGAGAAATCTTCCAGCTTTTCTCTTGAGGAGGTTTTCATACCCTTTCAAGCCATCTCTCTACTCACAGCTCCAAGACATCTCTATTCCTGCTCCTTTCCACCTCACCACCTCCAAGGTGAGGATTTGCTTTGGAAGTTCTGCACACCAGAATTCCCCTTCCTTCAGTAAACAGCAATCCACACCCAGCAACTCCTCTCTGGTGAGGAGTGGAAGTGAACTTGGTCTTGGCTCATTCCCACTCATAATTCTACTCTGTAAATCAGCTAGTGCAGGACAAGGGGCAGTGATACCCCTCGGATGATATTGGGATAGTATTTGGAATAACTTGCACTATGGAATTAAGATTTCACCTGGCAATTGCTCCATGCAGGAGCAGGGCAGATGCAGAACCCACCACAATCCTTGTGAGACCGGGTGAATTGTTTGTTTTCCTCACAGGGATTTCTCAGCCTTACCCACCTTTACCTCCTCACAGAGGTGGATCACAGAATCATGGAATGGTTTGAGTTGGAAGGAAGCTTTAAGGGTCACCTAGTCCAGCACTCCTGCAATGAGCAGGGACATCCTCAAGGAGATCAGGTCGGATAACCTGAGTCACCCACCCAGGTTCACCTTGTTGCTATGGGAGAGGAACTCCTGGAGGGAAAATCATACCTCTGTCTTGGATCCATCCCCTTGCAGAGGATGAATCCTGCTATGGCCTCTTCTGAACAGAGCTAGAAATTGAGGTTGTTAAAGGCAGTGACTGAGACAGAGGTGGAGGGGTGCGTTCAAGGACCAGCCCAGCAGATCCCTTTATTGCTGCCACTCTGGAAGGGCACCCCTCACTCCTATACCACATCTGCCACCTCTGTGCAGGTGATTTGGATCCCCCAGTGCACCTCCAGCACCATCAACCCCCAAGTTCCAGGCAGGATGCTCCATCTGAGAGGGAAGCACTCCGGACCCAGCAGGACATAGAAACCCAAGAGGTTTATTGGCGGCCGACAAACCCAGCTACAAGCGGAGGCACGGGGGTGTCTGAGGGCAGGCTCTGTGTACAGTTCCGGCTGCAGGAGCACTGGGCTGGCTCTCCTGGGGCTGTCACATCACTTTGGGGTGGCTGCTGTCACCGGCAGCAGCGCAGGCGGCCGTTGCTGCAGCTCCCTTCCCAGCGCTCCGTGTGGAAGCAGAGCCTCCGGCAGTGGCCACGGTTGCTTCTGCACTGCTGGCTGTCTGAAAGGCCTCTGGCTGCTGGGGAAAGAGGACAGGAAACATGGTTAGGAGAGCTGGAACCTACTCAGAGCCCCCAAAACCTGCTGGGAATTCCACTGGTGTTGGTGGCCGGGCAATGGGATGTTCTCAGTTTGGCAGCAGGGAGATTCAGCTGGTTCCATGGTGAGGATCAGATGTGCTCGGGGGGAGCTTCTTCATCCAGAAAGCACTGGGAGCCTCCTAAGGACTGGCCTGGGTGAGACAGCCAGGTTTAGGTTGGCTGTGTTAGGTTAGATGAGTTAGGTGAGATGGGAGAGCACCAAAAGACAGAGAAGTGCCTTTTAGAACAGGCGTTTCACTTCTTGGTTTGTTCGGAGATTTTTTGGCTTCTTGGTGTTTTGGGGTTTTTGTTTGCTCGAGTTTTTCAAACCTTTTGCTGTTTTGATTGAAAGGGCATGAGAAGCATCTCTTTAGACACAGTAGAAATATCAAGTTTGGGGGTTCTGGGGGGGTACACCACCAGTGCAGTGGGCAAACCCTTCTCTCTGTCCCTAGGACTTCAGTTAAATAAATAAGAGCATAAATAGCTGAAGCAAATATCTCCTCTTCTTGGTTATCAGGTTTGCCTTCTGTGATGTCACCAAAGTCCTGCTAACATCATGGTGACCTCACACCTGAATGAAACCTGAATCTCTGACATATGTATATAAGCAGTCAGTGAAAATGCCAAGCCAAAGAACATTTTTCTATCAAACCAGAATCTCAGAAGAAAGCAGACAAAAAAAGGTAAATTATCTGCCTTTCCTCTGTCTTTTTTCCCCCAAAAGATGGTTTTGATTTTAGAAAATCAAGGATACACAGAATGATTTGAGTTGGAATGGACATTAAAGACCATCTACTTCCAGTCTTCTGCCATGGCAGGGACACCTTCCACTATCCCAGGTTGCTCCAAGCCCTGTCCAACCTGACCTTGGACACTGCCAGGGATGGAGAGCCCACAGCCTTTTTGGGCACCCTGTGCCAGGGCCTCCCCACCTTCCCAGGGAACAATTCCTTCCCAATATCCCATCCATCCCTGCCCTCTGGCAGTGGGAAGCCATTCCCTGTGTCCTGTCCCTCCATCCCTTGTCCCCAGTCCCTCTCCAGCTCTCCTGGAGCCCCTTGAGGCTCTGGAAGGGGCTCTGAGCTCTCCCTGGATCCTTCTCTTCTCCAGGTGAGCACCCCCAGCTCTCCCAGCCTGGCTCCAGCCCTTGGAGCATCTCCATGGCCTCCTCTGGATTTGCTCCATCAGCTTCTGATGGTGGGGATCCCAAAGCTGGAGGCAGCTCTGCAGGTGGGATCTTACCAGAGCAGACCAGAGGGTGAAAATCACCTTCCTCAACCTTCTTGTCACTCTTGCATCTGCCACATCTGTATTCCACTCATGGAGAATGCAATGGGATTCTCCTTGTTTTGTGGAGGATGAGGCTTTTATCCTGGAGCAAAGCTCAGGCTTAGGCTCAGCATTTCTGGGTGAGTTTTGAGGGCGCAGAGAGCAGGGGATGCACAACCTATGAACTCAGCACAGCTTCATCCAGGGACTTCATGGAGACAATCTCAGGAGAAATTTTGCCCTTGGAAGCACGAGTTAGGTCAGCCTTGGCTTGAGGGCTTTGTCCTCTTCTACCTCAGAGTAGGAACCTGCCTTTTCTCTCTCCACAGTCCTGCGGGAAGCCCTGTGAGAATTTTGTCCTTACCCGGAGTGCCCTGGAGGAGGAGGATGACAAGGACTGCAAAGAGCAGCTGGAGAACCCTCATGGCTCGCTGTGGGTGGAGGTTCCACCCCGAGGAGGAGTGAAGGGCACTAAAGGGAGGAACAAGAGGGAAATCCTGGATTTATAGTGGCCAGGGGGGGTTGTGTAATTTTCCTGGACTGGAGGGAACTTTGTCAATCTCAGGTGCATTTCAACACGACAGCAAACAGTTGCACGGGGTGTGCTTGTTCTCAGTCAAACCGTGTTACAGACAAAAAGTATAAAGGGGAAATAAAGGGAAATAAATAGAAGGAAAAAACACCAAAAAGGGGGGTAAAAAATCCGGATTTTGTTGACAATTACATTGAACACTAGGGAGTCTGCTACTGCTTGCTGCTGGAGACAGGATGTTGGGACTGACCCAGTCTGGCTCTGTGTTTGAAGGCTCGAGCATGTGATGTTAAAATCTCGTCCAAGTGTTGGGTTTTGCAGCATCAAAGTGTTGGGTTTTGTTTTTTTTTTTTTTTTTTATTTCCAGCTCTCACTCTCTGTGTTTAGCATTGACGCTGTCAAGAATGAAAAAATCCAGTCTCCCCCTCAGCACTCCCCAACAAAAAAAGCTGGCCTGAAAATAATGGGATCCTTAAAAAAATCATAGGTCTGCTTCAATTTCCCAACTTCCAGGCTGCAGAGAGGATGCTTGCCAAGGTTTTGTTTACAACTGCCAAGAAAAAATTTAATATTTTATTCATTTATGTACTTATTCAATGGGAAAGCTGGGATACCTCCCTGCAATATTCCGTGGTGTTAGGAAAGCTGGTGGATTACAGCTTTCCCAGGGATCCTGGCAGTCTCTTGGGTTTGTACCAGTTCTCCAGGTCAGTTCCAGGAAATCAACCGAGATGAGACCTGAGTTTCAACTTGGGAAAACAACACAAAGCAAACAATGAGCAGGAATGTCCCCAGTCAACAACAAATGGAGGAGGACAAAATAGAAACTTTATAAAGGTCTTTTTTACAGTGATGATGCAGCAGAGGCCATCACCAAGTCTCCCATTTTCCCTTCAGAAGTCACCTCAATGGATTTTTCTTTGCAGGCTGGATGCCAGAGAGTGCTGGAAAATGCAAGCCCCATGTCCTTCAGGCTGCTTGAACAGAACAAGGATCACCTTCATCAAACAGTGCAGATAAAGGGGCCTTCACCAGTCGGACTTTGGAGTAGGGGACACTGAGGTCTCCACCAGGGTGTCCTGAAAACCAGCCATGCACAGCTTGGGAAGGGAGATGGGTCTGGAAACCCCCGTGGGGGAGAGCTGGAGACAAGGATGTGTGTGAGCCTCTGGAAAAGTGTTGGTGCTCTGCCCTTCTGCTTGGGTGGAAGACAAATAACCCACCTTGTACCTCTGAGGATTGACATCTCCAGTGTGACAGATGGTGCAGTGGGATTTTGTGGAACTATGGAATCATGGAATCATGGAATGGTTTGGGTTGGAAGGGACAATAAAGATCATCTCATCTCAACCCCTGCCATGGGCAGGGACACTTTCCACTATCCCAGGTTGCTCCAAGCCCTATCCAGCCTGGCCTTGGACACTTCCAGGGATCCAGGGGCAGCCACAGCTTCTCTGGGCACCCTGTGCCAGGGCCTCCCCACCCTCCCAGGGAAGGATTCCATCCAAAGCAAAGAATTTGAGCAGAGCTTATCCAGCAGAAAAGAATCTTGAGCTGCAGTCCAAGCACAGAAGAGTGTGTGGATGCTCCTGTGAGTGTCCTGCTCTGGGTGTGTGTCCTGAAGTTTCTGAACATGTGTGTGCAGATGGCTTGGTGCTCTCCAGAGAGGATGTGGAGCACAGAGCCAGGGCACCACAGCGTTCCCAATGACGGATGGCAAAGTTCCAGGTGTTTGTCTCCATCTCAGCTGCTCTCCTGTGGTGGGAGCAGCACCATCACAGAGGGTGATTTGTGCTTGGAGTTGCTTGGATGCTGCTGTTTGGATGGGGACCAGGCTGGGGACCATCCTCCACACCACCACAAGCCCCTGCTCTGCAGCTGTGATGCATGGGTTGAGCTGCAGAATGTGCCTTGGGAAAGAAATCCAGCACTACACAGTACCAACAAAAGCCAGATTTCCTGCAGAAATCAGGGGCAGGAAATCTCTGTCCCTCGGGCAGCTGCTTGTACAACAGCTGGCCTGGCTCCCTTTGGCCTCAGCCTCTGCTGAGCCTACTGGGGCTGGCCCAGCAGCCTCCCACCCTCCCCTGCCTCCCAACCTGCCAGCAGATGGATTTTTTCAGAGCTCACCATGCACAAAGGCTGATCTGTGCTCAGACACGTGGCACAGGAATCGACTCCTGGGTGCTTGAGAGGTTTTGGGGCTGGGAGGAGCCGAATCAATCTATATCTGCTCTCTGGCCCCAAACAGGAGGGATGTTCCCACTGACTTCATTGCCTTCAGGCCAGGACCCGAGCAGGCTGATTTTTAAATGCATCCTGGGATAAGTTTTTGACGGCAGGAGCAATTCCTTGGGTGAATGAACCCTTTTGCCAGCTTGTGATGCCACCTCCTATTCCCAATCCCCTGACAGCATTTTGCCAAACAAGCACGCACTGAGTCCTGCAATTCAACCTGTGAAGAAATGATCTTGGGCTCAGCTCTGGGCTCAGCCCTAGTCCAGAACCCCCATGGCTCTCATTCCAGACCAGCCTTCATGGCCTTCTCAGAACTCTCTTCCACAGGTCCATGTCTGCCTTAAGTTGAGGCCCCCAGAGCTGTACACAGCAAGAAATTATGGTTTTTGCCCCACAGAAAATGGTCAGAGCACACCTTGTGCAATTAACTTCTTTCCAGTGCAGGGCCACATCCAGGTGTCAATTATGGATCATTCGTGGCATGTGCCCACCTCCAAACTGTGCCAAGGAGCAGCGTGGAGAACAGTTCATTTTCCGACAGCACATTTGAGTAGCCACTCATTTCTGAGCCTCACATGGTTTGATTTACTCGTGTAGGTTCAGCCTCTGAACCCTGACCTGTTTTATCTCCCCAGCACGCCCTGGAGCTGGGCTGTGGTGAGGTGGAAGAGCTCCAGTGAGCAGGTGGAATGCTGGAATGTGACCCCCTTTCTCCTGCTCGGGGGTGGAGGAAGATCCAGGCAAGCAGGGGGGTTGCACTGGTTTGTGTGGGATTGCCAGGGATGGAAGAGACAACCTGGATCCAAGGAATTGCCCACGGCTGTGGCACCTCAGCTTCCCCAGGCAGGAGCCCACCCAACACCATCCTGCTCCTGGCTGCACATCACAATCATGTTTTCAGGGCACAAGAGGAGGATTTGTCTCTCTTTGCCAAACAGACACTGGCCTGTTGCCTGGGAACAGCAAACAAATCCTGCTGAAAGAATCCATGCCATGCTTTGAGGGATAAAATCCCCAGTTATCCAGGAGGCTTGTGCTGGTGGACAGACCTGGCACGAGGGTAGAGGTCTATCCTGGCTGGCTGCATGACTGCAGAGATCCCAAATACACATCCCAAGATGTCAGGGTGATTTTTGCATCTCCTTTAGGTATAGGTCTGCTAAGTGAGTACTAAAGAACTCCAGTTTTGTAGCCTTCTGAGCTCCATTAGGTACAGACAGCTGGAGTTCAAAGCTCAATCAAGAATTTCCCAAAAAAATCTTACTCTTGATTTGGCTTTCACCTGCCCATGGCAGGGGGTTGGATGATTTTTAAGGTCCCTTCCAAGTCAAACCATTCTGGGAGTCTGTGATGTTTTTATGATTCTTCCTCCTCCCCAGGGTTACAGGATACTCCAGCTAGGGTTTAATTAATTTGAGCAGCATTCTCTGTCATACACTTACACCAAAGCAGCTCATGCTGCTGTTCAAGAAACTCCCCATGAGCTGAGCTTGCTGCTTTGCCCCAGGCATGTTCAGGGGTCAAGAAACCACATCAAGAAACAGTTTTATAAGGTCTGGAAGTGCCATTCTCCACCATCCACTGTATCCTTGGTGCTTTCTCTCTCCTCCCTCTGTGTGAGACTGGAAGGGAATTCAGTTCATCTTATTCATTGGGCAGAAATATCGACAGATTTTTTTGTTGTTGTTGTTGGGTTTTTTTAAAGGTTATTTCCATCCAGATCAGCAAACAAGGGAACACACAGCAGTGAGACAGCAGGACCATGCCTGTGAGCATACACATTAATGCCAGAGGGACAATACTCTCTATAAACTGAGCATTTCCACCTTTCCTGGTGGGCTGGCCAGTAGGTCCAAAACAATCAGGGGCAGAAAGCCCAGTGACTTCGAGGGAGATGTGCAAGGTGAGCTGCAAGAGCCCACTCCTCACTTTCCTAGGAAACCAGGCTGTAACCACGGTGGCTGAGCATTCCCAGATGAGGAGCACAAATAGCAATCCCTGTGGATGAATGTGAGAAATAAACTGTTTGGTTTGGAGAGGTGCCTTGACCCAAACCCCTCCCCGTGCTGTCCTCGTACATCAGCGTGCGTCAGAGGGATGGGCTGGGACTGGGCTGGAATTCGGCTCTGGATTCAGCACTGTCCCTGTTTGCAGAGTCAGCTCCCAAGCCAACAGCCAGCTCTGGGTATTCTGGCTCTCCTGAGGCTTCATCCAGCTGCAGGGGATATCCAGGGGAGTGCTGGCATCTCCCTGTGTGTGCTGGAGTCCCAGTGATGACCTGGGCAGGGTAACTGGGCTGCTCATCAGTGAATGGAGATGCTGGAGTGAATGAATGAATTGTCAGCCCTCTGGCAGTGGGGCCTGACCCTGCTGAGGTCGGTGGGAATTTTCCCATTTGATTCATCAGAACAAGAATTTCATCTCCCAGGGAAGACTTTTCCCTGGCTCTATCTGACCAGTGCCTCAGCTGGTTGGCATAGCTCTCTCATTACATCATTGTTTCCTTTCCTACAGAAATGATTGGCCCAGAGAGAAATATTTTACCTGGAAAGGGATACCAGGAGCTGACAAGGGCAGGGGAGTGTCAAAATTTTATGTTGAAAAGACACAGAAGGGCTGAGAGTGGATTTGGATAGAAAATTAATTTAGGCTGAGAGAGCTCATAGGGAAGAAAGCTGTGAGAGACAGAGAGACTGATTTCCTTGGGCTAGGGGACCGAAAGGGAAAGGAGTTGCACCAGAAATGCAGTCCATGGATGGAGAGGGCAGCCTGTCAGGGCGATGGGACACAGCTTTCAGATCCCCTCCCCACCCTGTCTAAAACAAGTAAAACTGGGATCTTAGGGAAAAAAAATTGCTCCCTGTGAGGGTGACGAGGCCCTGGCACAGGGTGCCCAGAGAAGCTGTGACTGCCTCATCCCTGGAAGTGTCCGAGGACAGGTCTTGGATCAATCTGGGATAGTGGAAGGTGTCCCTGCCCATGGCAGGGGTTGGAATGAGATGATCTTTAATGTCCCTTCCAGCCCAAACCATTCAGGGGTTCCACAACTGCCCTGAGAACCTGGCACAGCCTGGAAAGGAGAAGTGGATGGGGGTGGATCTTGCCTGGGAAGCACAGACCACACTCACCTTTATATCAAACCAGGTGCCTTTTGCACCAAAAGTGATGCCAAAAAGACTTTCCCCATTGCAGCTGTTTTTTCTGGGAGGGGAAATAAAGGGACAGAGTCCCTCTGGTGTGTCTGGGGAGGTGAGGAATGCTGTGGTCACTCCTGGTCAGTGGCATCCCACCACTGGCAGGGTTGCTGATTCACAGGTGGACACTTGCTGCTTTGTTACACTTCAGGTTTATTGGTTTCAGGTAAGGAGAAAGGCAATTTTTCACCTGTGCATGTCAGATAACATTCAGACTCTCAAAAGGGTGACAAACAGTTTGGGTTGTACCTGTTTCTTCTTGTCACAGTGTTTCCTAAAAAGTTACAACAAAACCAAAATGTTCAGGAGTTCATGAGTGAATCCACAGCCATATTCTCCCAGGGGAGCAACAGTCCCAGAAACTACAAAATCTCCTTCCCAACAGCTGGCTGTGCCTTGCCAGTGGAGCCTGCAGCTCTCCATGTGCTCCTTTGGAAACCTTCAGCTCTCTGTGGTGACTGGTGACAGATTTTTACAGCAGAGAATGATGGGTTCAAAGCAGTACTGAGCCAGGTATTCACCAGAAGCACAGGCTCCCATTCGGCACAAGCCCCCTCCGTGGCTGCAGCTCTCTGGTCCATGAGCATCTCCTGGACGAGGGAGCAGAAAATCCGTGGATAAAATTTGTGAGGTTCCTTCTGCTCCTGGCCAGCCAAGCCAGCACTGGGAGCACACAGAGAGCTTGGGCACCTCGAGCACACCGGGGGTGCCCATCTCACAGACAGGTTCAGATAGCCATGTTAAAAATCCCAAATTGCTGAGCCAACCTCCCTCGAGGAATGTTTTATCACGGAGTTGTTTTTTTCAGGATGTTGGCAAGGACCATGCATGGGAGGTCAGAGGGGTTGTCCTCCCCCTGCCAAGGAGGCAGCCTGAGAAAAGGCAGGAACATTTTCCCAGAGCACAGGGCTACTCCTTTAGGGCTTCTCCTAACTCAGTGATGTGCCCCATTTCCACAGCTTCCTCCCTGCTCATTTTTCGTATTCTCCCAAGGGATTAAACAACGAATTTTCCCAAAGTACCTCACCCACTCTCTCACCCAAAAAACACCTTTCCTCAGTAGCTGCAATATCACACAGCAAAGAGAGATTATCCCTGTTCCCAGATATCCTGTTCACCACCCCAGGCCTTCCTGGTCTTACCGTGCTGGGTCAGGGAGATGATCATAAAAACAAGCACAAGGATCCCCATTCCTTTGGCTCTGCTGGAAAATCCCAGGGCTGGGAGTGAGATTTCACAGAAGCCTCTGTGAGCTGCTGGCATGCTGGATGGCATCCGTGGAAGAGGGGAGGAGTTGATTATATTCCAGTCCCCAGAGTAACATTTGCTGCTGAGAAACTCTCTCGTGTCGTTCTGACCCAGCGCTGCTGCTCCAAACAATGTTGATTTTTTTCACCTTCACTGGTTACTGGCTTTTCTAATTCTTCTTGGCAGCTGGCATCTGTGGCTGGTAGAATTCCAGCTGGAAAAAAAGAGGCTCAGAGGGATCCTCTGCCCTTCACCTGCAGCCAGCAAAATCCCTTGGAAGTGACAGGGAGGAGGGAAGCAACCTGCAAGGGAAGACTCCTGAGGATCTGCAAGGAGGAGAAGGATGCAGGCTGGGAGTGATGAATTTTTCATCTGAGCTTGTGTGAATATTTTCTCCAGCTGAAACTTGGGTGTTATTTTTTTTTTCCCAGCTTTGGTTTCTAAGGAATTTGGGAGGCTTTGTTCCTGAGTGTGATGAGCACACAGTGCTGGTGGAAGAGCTGTTAGCTCAGCAATGCTGAACTGATGGTAAATCTGTGGTGAGTGGCAGCTCTGGCTGTAAAATGTGATATTCCAAGTGCCTGCTTGGCCCTGCTGTTTGCTGTCCCTTCAGCTGTGGTAATAAAACTGCTCTGTGAACACATCTTAAACTGACAGGTGAAAAAACAAGGTTAAAAGTCCCTTTCTCCCTAAAAAAAATACCCAAACGGAACAACATAACTAGAATCATAGAGTCATTTAGGTTGGAAAAACCCTCTCAAGTCATCAAGTCCAACCATTCCCCAGATCTCCACTAAATCATATCCCCAAATGCCACATCTATCTGTCTTTTAAATCCCTCAGAGATGGGGACTCCATCACTGCCCTGGGCACTCTGTTTTAAGGCTTAACCACCCTTTCCATGAAGAAATTCCTCCTGATGTCCAACCTAAACCTTCCCTGGCACAGTTTGAAGCCATTTCTCCTTGTCCTGTCCCTGTTCCCTGGAACAAAACCCCAACCCCCCTGGCTGTCCCCTCCTGTCAGGGAGTTGTGCAGAGCCACAAGGTCCCCCCTGAGCCTCCTTTTCTCCAGGCTGAGCCCCTTTCCCAGCTCCCTCAGCCTCTCCTGGTGCTCCAGCCCCTTCCCAATCTCCCTCAGCTGCTCCCTGAAGTGTCCAAGGAATGTCTGGATGTGGCACTCAGTGCTCTGGGCTGGTGACAAGGTGGGGATTGTCAAAGGTTGGACTCGATGATCTTGGAGATCTTTTCCAACCTAAATGTTTCTGTGATTAAATGTCCTCAGTCCTCTGAAGCATCCAAGTATAAAATCAACATGGTAAACAAGATTAGGCTGGTGAGAAGGATTAGAGGATGGGGTTTCCAAGGATGGAACAGCAAATTTTTGTGTAATTCTGCATGTGGCTGTAATAGAGACACATTCTGCCTCTTTCCATAGATAAATGACTGTTACACATGTTTATTTAGCATTTATTGAAAAAAGAAATTGTTACTTCAATATTAACATTAATAACAATATTTCAATTGTTAATTATCATTATAAAGAAACATGTCACTTCTAGTTAATTACACACTTCACATGTTGAGAACACCAGGCACATCTACCACACTTGGAATAAAACTTGTTTGTTTTCTTGGCTGTTCATTTCCACGGTTTTCATCATTTCCATGGCAATCCCACGAGGTCTTTGTCACACTTCTGTGCAGCACTTCCATCCTCTGCGAGGGCAGAGCCCCTCTTGCTCTTGCAGGCATCTGATTTCTGGGGGCACACAATGGCCCCCCTCATCCTGGCAGATGTGGAAGTTGGATGTCGTGTCTGCAATTCAGAGGGTTTAAGTCAAAGCAGGAAACCTGACACTGCCATCCAAACCATCTCATACACAAAAATTGTTGGGAAGTTGTGGTTGCTGTGTCTCCAAAAGCAAAGACACAAAGATGAACTTTGGGACTTATCACAGCACTTCTGTAAAAGAAGGAATTTGTGACCCACCAGCTTGGAAAAGAATTAACTGAGGGAGGGATCTTGAAAAGCTATGAGGAAGGTGGATGCAGAGTGACTGCATTGCAAGTAGGTGGCACTGAATGAAATTGTGAGGGATGAGGTTTGAAAAGAAATGGAAGGAATTCCTAACCTGGGGGGGAAAAATCCAGTAAGGACTTTTAAACACAAGGATGCCTAAATCTAAAAATCCTGAGCTGCAATTTCATGAAAGCCAGATTAATATATAAGGAAATGTAATGATATGGTTATGGTCACTTTACACACACAGAGCAACTGAGAGGAAATATCCACTTCTGGCCATGGACAGATCCAGGATGTTGGATCAGAGGAACTTTAGGATTAGCACAGTTGTTTCTAAATTATATATTCATTAATGATTTATTTTGATGGCTATCTATTGAGGAACACCAAAAACAAGCAATTCTGGGAAGATTTAGATAAAATGACAGGGAAGAGGCCACCTATTAAACACAGCAGGGTGGGTGCAGCCAGCAGTCCCCCAACAGATGATTATAGAAGATTTACCAAAGAAAAAGGACTCTCTGTGAGTCAAAACATTTATTTTATTTCCCCAATTGGAGGTGAGCTTTGGATTGTTTTAGCCAGCCCCAAAGTCTCCACTCTGATGTTAGTGGAGGAGCACAGAGGTCCATCTTTGCACATGGGAAGAGATGGCTTAGATCCCCTGGAACTGGATCAACCTGGGATAGTGGAAGGTGTCCCTGGGCATGGCAGGGGGTGGAACAAGAATTTAAATTCCCTTCCAACCCAAACCCTTGTGTGATTCTGTGATTTGGAGGTAAAATTTGTGTCGCTGAGTTCATCCATTCCCCCAGGTTTTGCCCTCCTGGGCAGGGTTCCCACACGTACCCACACAGCAGGTCCTGCGGCGCCGATAGCAGGTCCCGAAGGCAGCGAACGGCTCCGGGCAGGATTTCAGGTGGAAGCAGTAGCCGTGGTATTCCAGACAGTGCAAAGTGTCCCTGGGCAAGCCACGACCTGCAGGGAGAATGGGATTCCCAGTCCTGCTGCAGGATCAGTCCGTTCTCATGCTTCCTCCTGCTGAAACCCCACAGACCCCAGTTAGGGATCTGACATAAATACACCCCAAACCCAGAAGTTTTGAGGGTCTCATGGGACCTCAGAGCGTTCCAAGGAAGGTTTTTTTACAGCTGGCATGAAACATGGAGGTTGATGGCAATTTTCTGAACATATCCTGGCCATTTGTGCTATAATGGGAATGGACAGCCCAGTCTTGGAGGCTTCTGAACTCTGGGACTGCAGTGCTGCAGGGACATGCAAGGGACAGCAGGGTCATCACATGCCCTGAAGATAAAATTATGACTTTTAAAAACCCCCAAAAGCAGAATCTAGCTCAATTAACAGGAACAAGCCGTTTGCTCAGTTCCTTCTTTATCTGGAAGCCTTTCTTCAAGGTGAAGAGTTTCATTCAGCACGAGGAACAGGTAGGATAAAAACGCAATCAGAAAATGAGTCAGTGCAGCAGAAGGGCAGAGGAAGGGGAACCAGAATATTCAGAGAGCTGGTCAGAGGTGCAGTTCAACCTGAGCAATACCAGAGAACACCTCTGCTCTCTTCTGCTGTACACAAAGGGGACAATTTTTAACCCTGAGGTTAGAGGAGAAAGTGATTTCCATGGTACCACCATCCAATTGTGCCAGAAAGTGCCATAAAGAGACTTCAAAAGTCATAAGAGCCAACACCTGGCAGAGGTGGGGAGGTTCTGGTGAGACACCTGCTCACCACAGGTTACTTTTTCATTTCTGCTCAGAGCAGAGGGAACTGCTCTAAGGAAAGTACCTGAGGAGAATTTTCTGCACCACCACACGAGTGAGCTGTACCTCCTACACAGGCAAACCCCAGCGTGGGGCTTGCCCCTTACCTGGAACAGCCTGGAGCAGGAAAAGCAGGAGAGCCATGAGGCAGGAGAAGAGCTTCATGGTGGAAGGTCTCAGCTGCAGGAGACAGAATGCCAGAACCTTTGAGCAGGGGAGGATAGAGCACTCTGGCATTTATAGGGCAGTGGGAACAGCTGTGGCTGTCCAGGGAACCTTGGCAGGGGTGGCAGGGGAAGGCAGCAGGTACAGCCTGACCTCTGCACATAGCTAAACCTGAACAATAGCTCAGGGGCACAAAAACAAGGGGACAAATAGCTGTGCCTCCCTGCCTGACCACTGGGAAGGCTGCTGGGAGGGCCCCTGACCAATATGGATCCAGCCAGAGAGCATCATTAACTTGCAATATCAATGTGGTTGGTAATGGTGATTATCTGGAGGAAATCAGCCATAGAATATCATAGAATCATCACAGAATCATGGAATAGTTTGGCTTGGAAAGGACATTATAAACCATCACCCTGCCACGGGCAGGGGCACCTTCCACTATCCCAGGTTGCTCCAAGTCCTGTCCAACCTGGCCCTGGACACTTCTGTGGATGGGGCAGCCATCCAGACAACAGAGAATATCTGATCCTGCTGCATGTCCTGTGATGCAACAGTTGTTCCCAAGAGAAAGAAATAAAGGATATGACCATTCCATACACAAGCTTATAAAATAGCTGCATTTTTTTTTTAATGAAAGCCGCTGTGAAGAAAAAAAATCTGGTCTAGTGGTAGGTGTCCCTGTCCATAGCAGGGGGTTGGAATGAGATGATTTTTCAGATCCCTTTCACCCCAAACCCTTCTGCCATTCTGTGTTTCTATAATACATGAAGTGCAGATTATCAGTTTTCAGGTGTCACCAGCAGCACCTTCAACTTTGCAGGTGCACAAAGAGCACATGACAAATGACATTCATGAGTTTTTGTCAGTATTTGTACAGAGTTTGAATCACATCAACAGACACATGGAAGTGGAAGCTGACAGCTCAGCTTCTCCCTCAGTCATTTACTTCAGCCTCTTTCCATAAAAGATATTTATTGATGTTGTTTTGACCCAGCAGCCTTGATACCAACAATACAAACCTCTCTCTCAGTCATGTGCATTGTTCTCTGTCTGCCTTCCTGCTTACTTTGTTTGCTTTCCATTGCAAATTTGCAGGTGCCAAGGAGAGGTATTTGTGTTCATTTCCAGGTACTCCAGGGTCAGGAATGAAACAAAGGCTGCTACCAGAACCTTTCAGTTGGCTCAGGTTCCCACTGAACCCAAGAAGATCCTAGCTGAGATATTAATCTCAGCTCTCAGACAGGATCTGTCCTTGTATTTTGTCAGACTGGAGCAGACACTCAGCTTTCTCAACAATTATTATTATTTTTTTAAAATCTCAGAAATATGGTCCTGTTCTGTAGTGATGGACTGGAAATGTTTGCCTTTTAAAATTTTATTTCCGTGGGACGTGAAGTATAAATTCAAAACCTCAAGTGTGTTAACAGTCTGGTGGAAGAGGAGTGACTGGCCAGTAATCTCACATTCAAAATCCTCCTCCATCATTTCTGGAATGTCCTCACTGTCAGACCACAAGTGCTTACACAATCACAGTTCCCTTCAAATGAGGGTCAGAAATTACCCCAGGAAAAAACCCAACTCTTTGAAATTCAAGTGGCATCTCAGTCTGCCTTGATGCCTCTGCATTTTGTTTGCTCTTTTTTTGTTCTCCTCCTTTCCCGGGTTACTTTTCCAAGTTTATTCCAGGTCAGAGACATGTTTTACATGGATCACAAAATAAATGTTTACACACAGTGGAGGTTCTGCCCCTTGCCTAAGGATTTCTTGTGAGAAATTGCTGAGGGAGCTGGGAAAGGGGTTCAGCCTGGAGAAAAGGAGGCTCAGGGGGGACCTTGTGGCTCTGCACAACTCCCTGACAGGAGGGGACAGCCAGGGGTGGGTTGGGATCTTCTTCCCAATAACAAGTGACAAAGCAAGAGGAATCACCTCAGGCTGCACCAGGGGAGGTTTAGATTGGGTATTGGGAACAATTCCTTCACAGAAAGCTCTGTCCAGCCCTGGCACAGCTGCCCAGAGCAGTGGTGAAATCCCTGGAGGGTTTTGCTGATCTGACCTGGGACTCACATCCCTTTGAATATGGGAGTTTTTATGAGAAGGGAAGACTTCTCTTTCATTTTGAAGTTTTCAGTCATGGGACAGCTCTGAAAATAATTCAGAAGGGAAGCTGGGAAGCTAAATTTATGGGAAACATCTGCTTTCACAAAGCACTTAAACAGATTTGTGTTATGGTGATATAAATCAGCAGGATTTGACTGCAGTTGGGGTGAAGTGGTCCTGGAACTTGAAAAACTGGCTGAAACTTGACTTTATTTACAACATTGTAAGAAGCAAGTGACAGAGTGAGATGGATGAGGAGAAGGTGCCACTGAGGGTGGTCAGCAAGGGGAAAATGTGGGGGGAAATCTAATAGCAATCATTTGGATTGAATAGACAAAAACTTTGGGCTGTGGAGGAAAAATCCTGTATTTCCAGGAAGGAAACAAGCTGAATTTCCAGCCCGGCCTTGAGATGGAGGATTCTTCACTGAACAAAATTAATCTCCAGTCTGATTTACAGCTCCTGGAGCCCATGAGCTGGTTCCTGGCTCCCTCTTGTGGGAAAAGCTGCTGGAGGAGGAAGGGACCTCATGGTGCAGGGTTTGCTCAGGTGGAAAGGTAAAAGCAAGAGGAAATGCCTCTTTGCTCCATCCTCAGCACTGGTAATTCACAGAGCAAATGCGTGGTGATTTGTTAATATGTTTGGAGAGCAGGGATGAGATTTGGTTTCAGGCATCAAATTTTACAGAAACATAGAATTTTTGGAGAGAGTTGCTTACGTTCAGGGTTAGTGTTTAACTATAAAGTTAATGATTTCTAGCTTCATATAATTTTATAACATTTCTATAACTTTAAAAATCTCTCTAACTGTAATAATACTGAGAGCTCTGCTCTTACCACGATCAGGTTGAGCCAGAGAGGAGTTTCCTGGTGCTTTACCCATTGCACTGCTGGCCACAACCCCTGCCTGTATTGCCCCTCTCCAGACACCCAGGTGCCCAGCAGAATGTCTCCATGGGGTGGTTTTGTGTTGATAGGTGTTCGTGGTTCAAACAGGATGGGAATGAAGCTGGGAGTGGAGTTGGAGAGGTGTAAGGAAAGCCTCACCTCCTTACTGTTTTCCACAGCAGTCTTGCCCTAAGCACCCATGGGGAAAGAATTGGGTGGAGCTGGAAAGAATTGGGCAGCTGGAGCTGGTGCTGGACCTTGCCTGCACTGGTGGGACATCCTGCCATCCCTGTAGGACGTCCAGGTGCCACTCCCAGCCAGCACAGGGCTGTGGCTGGGGCAGGACATCAGGAGCTGTGACTGGCCTGAGCCCGTGGGTGCTCTACTCTACCAAAACCATTCCTGGCTCCACAGCCAAAACCCACCTTGGGCTGTCCTGTGTCCCTCCCCCGAGCCACCATCCTCCCTTGGAGCATCCCTGAGCCAGGTTCCTGCCCTCACTGACTCCCATCCCACCCTGTACCCTCATCCTGCAGCCTGGACTGGTCTCTGCAGCCAAACCCTCCCATGAGGTTGCCCTTCCATAGCCACAGCCCTGCTCCTGGGATGCAGGGACACCCCAGGGTGATCCCCATGGAAAGGACATTCCCAGGGGACAATCCTCGCCCCTGGACCCCTCCACCCCGACCTCGTGGCGCAAGGGCAGCGCGTCTGACTCCAGATCAGAAGGTTGTGTGTTCAAATCACACCGGGGTCAGTCTGGGGCACCACTGGCACCCCTCTGCTTTTCTGGGGGGGCTGTTCTGTGGGAGGGGAGGCCTCAGGGTGTGGGGGCATGGACCAGGATATGGGGAACATACCTCAGGATATGGGGAACACAATGCCCAGAGCTCTCCTTTGAGTAGGGAGCTGTGCTGGAATGGAAATGATGGATCAGGATGAAAGCAGGGAGGTTGTGTTGTGGTGGTGTCAGTGGTTAGCTTTTTTCTTCTGTCTTCACTCAGAGTCAGGATTGAATGCTCGAGAGATGGATTTCTTGCTCAGACTTGGTTGTTTATTAAGTCTTATCTGAAGAACAGAAAGTTCTTCAGCATTTCTAGCTATCAAGCCAAAAGTGAGAAAATTGAGGTGTATCTAGCAAGTTACCAGGTCTATTAAAGCCTAACTATCCAATTAAAAGCTAACATCTATTTTATTTATACTTTTGACCCAATAACCAAACTCCTGTAACCTGCACTGTGGGACCTTCTATCCAATCAAAAACTACTACCTGAAATCATGAAGAAGGAGCAAGAAAGAAGCAATACCCAAGAATGTCCATCTTGTCCCATACCTATTACTATATTCTAAAATCCCAAATTCAAAACCCTTCACCATGTGAAATTGCACACTTCTGTTCTAACTACACACCCGTGATTCCAACTCCATCACTCAAATTTGGAAGCCTTCTTCAAGGCCTTAGGTCAAAAGCAGTGCTCCTTTAGGGGTCAGTGTCAGAAAGCACAGAAAGTTCAAAACTCCCAGGCTTCAGGGTCCAGCATGGTGGGTGTCTGCCATAATTTACCTCAATAATGAGGTAATGTCTTCCTCAGGTAAATGCAGGAAACTTTTTAACTGCAGGCTCAGTCACTTCTGGAGGACCTAGACATGCTTGCCCTGCAGGGTAACATGGGGTGGTATGGTTAGCACAGGGGATATCTGGAGGGGAGTCAAGAGCAATTACTCTGTGTAGGATGATGGAAAAAGAGGCAAGTTCAAAAAGAGACATGGAAAGACTTTTTCAAGAATTAAGAAATACCATCTGGAAAGCTCTAGTCTGGTCAATCACAGTCCCGATTCTGCCTGACCACTGTGGAAACAATCCTTCAGAAAGCCATGCCCAAAAGGAGGAAAGATGTGAAAATCTTTGAGTGGAAGGCCAAGGATCTGCCAAAGGCAGACCACCCTTGATCAGAAGAATAGATGTCTTTGAAAAGTTGATTTCTTTGGTAATCAAGTGGACACTGAGGAACATAATTTATCTTGACTTTAGTTTCACCTCTGTCTCCCAGACGTGTCCCTGCAGCAGGACACACACACACAGCAGCTGAGCTCAATCCAAAGGCAAAGCAAAGCGCCAGGAGCAGCCACTGAGGGGCTTGGGGTCAGGGCTTGGTGATCCAGGGGACCCTTCACTGCTGGATGCTGAACTGGGTGTGGTTTGGTGTCTGTGCTGGGAGCAGAGGCTGCTCCACACAAGGAAGGACAGCCCAGCCTGGCAGGGACACGGGCATGGCCAGGGGACAGGGCCAGTGGCGCAATGGACAACGCGCCTGACTACGGATCAGGAGATTGCAGGTTCGACTCCTGCCTGGCTCAACACTTTTAGCCCAGGGACTTTCCTCCTGCTCCCTTTGTGAGCACCTTCCTTCTCCTGCCCATCATCCATCCTGCCTCAAGCTCCTCATGTCCTGTCCCACACCCCAAAACGGGCAGGGCTGGGGCTCACACCAGAGCCAGGCCACCACAGCAAATCCCAGAGCAGAATTCAGGTACCTCCAAAGTGCTGTTCCACAGCCAGGACAGAGCCAGCACTCCCAGGATGTCCTGGCACCTCGTGTGCCCTGATCCCCAGCCCCCTCCATTGGTCCTGCTGGCCTTTGTTCAGTGCCTTGCCAAGTTCTGCATGTGACAGCAATGGTCTCAGAGTAGGACAAGGCCCCAGAGAAGCTTTGGAGTTTCCATCCTTGGAGTTATTTAAACCTTGACTACAACCTGATGTCAAAGACTGCTGTGCTCTGAGCAGGGATTAGCCCACCCGCTTCCCAGGGCTCTCCTAAAATCTATTTTTTCTGTATATAATTAATTCTGTCCCAAAGCCCATGCATTGATGGGAAGCCCCCAGTGCTCAGGGAGGGCCAGTGGCTCAAGGGACAACGCGTGTGACTACGGATCAGGAGATTGCAGGTTCAACTCTTGCTGGCTCACCATTTTCCTGCCCACAGCCTGGCTGTCATAGTCATGGTGACAGGGGACATCTTTCTCCATGCTGCCCTGCCTCTTTCTGGTGTTGTCCCCTCTTGGTGAGTACCTTGGTTTGAAAGACAGGTGTCTGCTAAGAAAGGCAGGAACTTCTCTTGAAATGGAAAATGTAAACTACCTCCCTCAAAGTTATTATAATTTTGAAATTAAGGTGCTCTCATGGGAATGGGAATAACAGTTCTTTAGGAAGAAAAAAAATAAAATAGAAATACAGTATTACGAAAAACAAACCCAAAACACTGACAGAGTCAGAATCCAAGCTGACACCCCATCAGTCAGTCAGGGGTTGGTGCAGTCCCATTAAATTGTGGCTGCCAATCCTGCAGTGACAGATGTGGTTCAGTTGGAGCAGTGCTCCTGTAGAAGGTGCAGGTTTCCTCTGAAGGTTCAGTGATGATGTAGAACAGTCTGTTTTTCCTCTGGAATCCAGTGGAAAAATGCTACCTTGATGTTCTGAATCTCAGATTTTATCTAGGTAGGAAAGGCTTGGCTCCTCCCCCTGGGTGGAGCATCTCCCAATGGGATGATGGAATTTTATCAGCCATGCAGGGGGACTCCATGGCCCATTAACAGAAGATATCTCCTGTGAGGAAAGATGGGTTGTGGAAAAGATAAAGAATGGTACCCCACCTGGTTTTTAACAGCTGGCCCATTAGCAGAGGATATCTCCCACAGAGATCAGGATCACTGCCCCAGCTGGTTTTAACAGATGGTGATAGAATTCATACTTTTGGTCATATCCTGTATTGCAGCCTAAGACAGTGGGCTTCCTGCAGCGCAAAACTTCCCTTGCACCAGAAGAAACTCTGACTAAATAAACTGGCAAAAAAAATTCTCTGTGAGTTGGTAAATTGCCAAGAGAGGAGCCCAGAGAGGCTGTAGCCTCTACATCCTTGGAGATATTCAGTCTCAGCATGCAGTCCTGATTTGCTTGTCATAAATTAAACAGAAGTCTAGACTAGAGACCACCACATGTAATTTCCAACACAAATCACGGTTGGTTTATATAAAATTCGTGTTTCCATGCTCTTTTGTTGCTTCATCCCACATTTGCACACCCATGGTCCTGTCATTACTGTTTGGTACTTTCACTGTGCCTGTGGCTTGGGCCAGGAAGGTCAAGGGTGTCCATGTGCAGGGTAGCCCAGACCAACTGGCCATCAAGCAAGATCTTGCTACAGCTCACCTGCTCATCCCTGTCATCAGGCTGGAGCAAGTGGAGGTGGCCTTGGGCTAAGCTTTCCACTCCACTGGACACCACAGCTCCAGAGAGTTCTATACGGGCTGGGAAGTTTAACTACACATCCCATGAGAAAGGCAAGATGCCCTCCTATCCTCCAGAGCAGCTGAGCTGAGCCTGGAGCTCAGTACAGACATCTCCTCTCCTGCATGGTGGAACCAGTGGGACCACAGGTGAGGAGGGCAAGGCTGACATGGAAGGGGCAGGTGGGAGCAAGGTGAGATCCTGCCACTTCCCTTTAACCAGCAATAAACCCAGGTGGTCCTGACATGAGGACAGCAGGTGGGATCAGAGGCTGCAGCCAGTTGCTCAATGGACCATGAATGCACCTGACTATGGATCAGGAGACTGCAGGTTTAAGTCCTGCCTGGATCACCCTGAAGCTGGTGGTGGAGGTGACAAGGCACAGCTGTCTTCCTGAGGTCCTTAACATTCCAGACTTCTTTTCCATCTCTCCAACATCACCATCACAGGAACATCATTTTATGACATCACTGCTGTGAGCAGGGCACTGCTCCCACACAGAACTTGGCAAGGCACTGACAGAGGGCATCAGGACCAGTGTGAACCTTGGAGGGGGGACTGGGGATCAGGGCACACGAGGTGCCAGGACATCCTGGGAGTGCTGGCTCTGTCCTGGCTGTGGAACAGCAGTTTGGAGGTACCTGAATTCTGCTCTGGGATTTGCTGTGGTGGCCTGGCTCTGGTGTGAGCCCCAGCCCTGCCCGTTTTGGAGTGTGGGACAGGACATGAGGAACTTGAGGCAGGATGGATGATGGGCAGGAGAAGGAAGGTGCTCACAAAGGGAGCAGGAAGAAAGTCCCTGGGCTAAAAGTGTTGAGCCAGGCAGGAGTCGAACCTGCAATCTCCTGATCCGTAGTCAGGCGCGTTGTCCATTGCGCCACTGGCCCTGTCCCCTGGCCATGCCCGTGTCCCTGCCAGGCTGGGCTGTCCTTCCTTGTGTGGAGCAGCCTCTGCTCCCAGCACAGACACCAAACCACACCCAGTTCAGCATCCAGCAGTGAAGAGTCCCCTGGATCACCAAGCCCTGACCCCAAGCCCCTCAGTGGCTGCTCCTGGCGCTTTGCTTTGCCTTTGGATTGAGCTCAGCTGCTCTGTGTGTGTGTGTCCTGCTGCAGGGACACGTCTGGGAGACAGAGGTGAAACGAAAGTCAAGATAAATTATGTTCCTCAGTGCCCACTTGGCCATTGAGGAAGAATATGTATCATCCCAGGGTGTTCTGCCCTTGGGAAGTCCATGATCCCTGTCTCTAGTCATCATCACATTCTTCCTGCAGTTCAGGAACATTCCTTTCATAATTATCACCTGTGTGGTGGGGTGAACCAGACTCTTCTTTTTTACTCTTTTCTTGAAAAGACTCCTCATAGGGTTCATCAGGAACTTCTCTCTGTTTCCATCATCTTACACTGAATCATTGTCCTTAAACACTCCAGAGGTCCCCTGGACTGACTGCACCACCCCATGCTGGTCCTCCATGGAAATATCACATGGAGATAAGTCCAGATCTCCCAGGAGTGACTGAGCCTGCAGTTGTGAAGCTTTTTCCACTTTTCAGAGAAAGCCTTCACTCTCTTCAGCTTCCTCATGAGGCAAAGAGCACCAGACACCCACCACACCTATGACCTGTGACCTGGGAATCATGGGTTTGATATCCATGAATCTTGAATGAATGAGTGAATGGAGCCTCTGTCCCCAGGGAGATGCTGGGCCACCATTTCTCCTGTCCCTCTGGAGACACCACATCCAGGAGTCTATTTTCTCCTTGGAGAGGCTCCGCATTTTTGGCCTTCTTCCTCTGAAGTATCTCATTTAGAGCCCTCTTAGTTTAATAAGGTAAGGCAGGCAAAGATGGTGACACTCCTCTGCCAGGTGAAACAAAATTCCCATCCCCTCAAAGAATGCCCCAAATTTCAGGATGATATCTGAGCAGAGAGTGCCCCATCCCTGACCTCGTGGCGCAATGGCAGCGCGTCTGACTCCAGATCAGAAGGCTGTGTGTTCAAATCACACCGGGGTCAGGATGCCCCCTCTGAGGGCATGTGAGATGTGCATCTCCCAGACATTCCCTTTTGCCCTCCCACTCTGTAGCTCTGGACCCCAAATCCTTGCTGAAGAGCAGTGGATGAGCCGTGGCAATGTGGTCTTTCCTTGCTGGATGAGTGTTCAAACTATCTTCAAAGTTTTATTTTTTCACAGTATAACTGCAGCTTCCCCTTATACTATGTTTGCAAAGCTGACAGGAATAGTGGGCACCCCAGATGTGACTTCATGTCTGGATATCAATTCTTCTGGTCCCAAAATCCCTTTGGAAGGGCAAGGACCTGTTAGGGCTGATAAAATCCCTTTGTATGTCCTTCCTCAGATTGAATAATCTCAATTTCTCCCTATCTCTCCGTGCATCCCCTGTATCCAACTCCCCACCACCTTGATGGTTCTCACTGAACTTGCTTTACTATGTCACTGAGGGTTTTTTTGTTGATTCTCTTGAAACACTTGGCTTTGGGGAGCCTAAACTGAGCCACCAGGATCTTTAACTCTCTGCTTAGTCTTTTCTCGATTCCCCATGGTGAGATGGACAGAGGGGATGGAGGGCTGGAAAAAAGGCTTGAATCTGTAGGAATGACCTTATATGAGTCATAATTAATAAAAAGTAGTTTCTCTTTCAAGGAGAATTTAAAAATATATAAGCAGGAGACGTACTGAGATAAGAAAATGGATCAACAAGAAAGACAAGAACCTAAGATCCCTTATCCCATAATTCCTGGAGTGCCACCAAAGGGTTGAGTGAGCAGGGATTTCCTCAAGATGTCGCTGCCTCACTGCTTTCAATGTCACAGAATCCTCGAGGCTGGAAAACACCTCCAAGATCATTAAGTCCAATGTCCTTGTCTTCGGCTCTGTCTCCATAATGTGATTTTCAGTCCCTTTGATTTCTCAGAATGGAAAGAAACTCGGGCATTTCCTTTTGCAAATCTTCCACAGATAAAAAAGCCCCAAATAGTACAATTTTCAAGAGGCTGTTGTTGGTACAACTGACACTCTCTTGAAAGGATATCTGGTAGGAAGCATTTTTCTTGTAGGCAAAGGGAACAGTTCTACATTTCATAAAAAATGCTGAGTTTACAAATATTCTCACTTTTTCTTAAGATTTCTGAAAGCATTTCTTTTTTTAANTCCTTTTGCAAATCTTCCACAGATAAAAAAGCCCCAAATAGTACAATTTTCAAGAGGCTGTTGTTGGTACAACTGACACTCTCTTGAAAGGATATCTCATCAGAAGTATTTTCACTGCAGGCAAAGGGAACAGTTCTACATTTCATAAAAAATGCTGAGTTTACAAATATTCTCACTTTTTCTTAAGATTTCTGAAAGCATTTCTTTTTTTAAAGCAGGATTTGAGTTACAATCTAGGGAAGATGTCCCTGCCCATGACAGGGGGGTTGGAACAAGAGGATCTTCAAGGTCCCCTTTCAAACCAAACCATTTGATGGTTCTGTGAAGAGCCTGGTGACGAGATTTAATCAAAGGGACACTTAAACAGAGAGTAGAACTGGATGTCTCCCATTCAAGGAAAGTTGTCATAAGCTACTTAATAACCAAGATTATTTCATAATCTTGAGTCTCTCTGAACGTTTCCAGTTAAAATACTCTATCTTGCATCAAACAAGGAAATCTTTGAGGCCATAGCAAATGGGGAAATGTGAGTGAGAAAGGCTTAAAATATTCCATATTGCTGTAAATTCCTGTAAAAAAATGCTTTTCTATATAACTTCATTTTCCAGTGAAAATCCAGTTCTCAGGGAATTGTGATCAGCCCTATTGAGGTCTGTTACTCAGAGTAGTTTACTCTGAATATTGACATAGAAGTAGCTTGACCAGAGGAGGATGTGAAACCTGAAAGCTGGGACAGTGTCACACAGTGAAAGATTGGGTTCAACTCCGGACTTTTTGTGTGTGGTGGAAATGTTTTTTCTGTAAAAACTTGAATTATGTTTTGTCAGGCAGCAAAGTTGTTTTGGTTTTTTTTTTTTGTTCTGTCTGTATAAGCAACAGCATCACTCTTGTGTCACCAGGCTTCCTTCTAGAATGATCCCATGACTGTTTTGGAAGCTGAAGTTTCGTTTTCATTTCTTTCCATGCTGTTGGCTCAAGTCTCAGTGTCCAAGTTGAGGACAAGGTCACATCTCCCTGTGAGTGACCAAGGAAAGTTTTTTTTTCTGCTGGACCTTCCTAAGGATAAAAATCACAGAAACACAGAATGGGGAAGGTTGGAAGGCACCTCTGGAGGTCATTTGGGCCAACATCCTTGCTCAAGCAAGCTCATCCTAAAAGATATTGCACAAAATACTTGTCCAGACAGTTCTGGAATATCTCCAATGAGGGAGATTCCACCCTCTCTGGGCAACCTGGAGGTCCTGTTTGTGGAGGGGGGCTCATTCCCTGCCAAAAAAAGATCTTTGTCCTCTTTATTCCCTCAGTACCTGAATCAATCAATGAAGTGGCTGCTGGAGAAGTGATGGAGGAATATATTAACGTTTAGATACCAGAATTTTTTCATGGGAAGGGTGGTCAGGAGTTGGAGGGGCTGCCCAGGGAGGTGGTGGAGTTTCCATCCCTGGAAGTGTCCATGAAATTACTGAATGTGGCACTCAGTGCTCTGGGCTGGTGACAAGGTGGGGATGGGGCACAGGTTGGACACAGTGGTCTGGGAGCTTTTTTCCCACCTAAATAATTCAGTGATTCTGTGATTCTAACAGACTTTGTGCCTCTCATTTTCTCTGGCCAAGCCTGTCCCTGGTGCTCTCATCTCTTCGGGGTGCCAGGGCTGTGATTCTTCATGGGGTGCCCCAGTTTTCCATGAGGGGACGAATTTTTATAAATATCTTCAACAGTGGCATGGAAAAAAAACCCCAAAGAGTGGGATTTTGGCAATTTTATTTCAGGTGTTTAAATGCCACACCAACAGCAGGAAGCTTCATAAAATGGAGCAAGTGGGAAAATATATAACAGAAGTACATGGGGGTAATGGATTTAGGGGAAAATAACCCAGGTTGTGACAGTGGCTAATTTATTTCCCAATGTACATTTTGTTGACAGCATGTAGTTGATATTTATCTTTCTCTGCAATCAAGAGGCAGAAGGGCTTTCAGCTTCTACTCTGATATCTTTAAAATCAGCCCATAAACCTGTATGGGATGGATTATCAGCTAATAATCTTCAAGAGAGAAATATTTCCTTGGATTTATTTCAGGGAAAAACAACAATAAAAAAATGCTCAAAGCAATTTCTTATCTCTATCTCTGTTACAGTCCCCAAGCCTGAAAATCGCCAAACTTCTTTGTCATCAGATTCCAGATCTTAAGTCATAATTAAATTCTTGTAAACTCTTTTTTTCTATTTTTCAGGTGTTTTGCCAGGTGTAGACCCAGGATGAACTCATGAGTGATTTTCAGGTTGCTGTCTTAGGAACTGGGTAAATATCAGAACAAATTCCAAGAAAACCTGGACAAAGCACAGGGACCACCCTTGTGAGCAGACACCAATGCTGGCAGTGAGATGTAATCAAGGGTAGATTTTTAAAATGAATAAATGTCTAAATGAATACAAGCCAGAGCTCATCCGTTTCTAGATACCCATCCTTCTAATTTCATTCCCTGCTCTATTACAGTCCATCAGCTCTTCAAAGCCCCAGAAGTGTGTTAGACACTTTTTATGCCTTATGTTTGCAGTGAAAAAGTCATGATGGGAATTTTTCCCAAGAAAGAAAAATGGCAAGATGAGGCTGGAGCAGATGGCCCTGCTCAGCACATAATTCCTCGTGTCCCAAAATTGACAGAGAAATAGTACAGCTCTTAGACTTTTGGCATGGAAAATCAACCAAATTTCTTTCCTTTGCCTGAACTTTTCCCTGGGATTTTGTCCTTTATGTAACAGCAGAAGCTGTCTGCAAAGGGATTTGATCCAAAATTCATCCAACAGCTTGGCTTCTTTCTTTCTTTCTTTCTTTCTTTCTTTCTTTCTTTCTTTCTTTCTTTCTTTCTTTCTTTCTTTCTTTCTTTCTTT